GCGGCGGAACGGCAGCGTAGTGGTGCTGCGAGCGCCACCGAGCGCCACCTCCTGACGGAACTCGGTCAGGCTGCGCCGTTGGCTCGTGCCGGACGGCCGTGGAATGCGCGCCCGTCCCCAGCGGCCGCCGCCAGCCGGGAGGCCGGCAGCGGCCGGCGACGAGCGGCGGCGCGGTGCGCCACGTTGCAGCGGACGTCGCGCCGCCGGGTCTGCGTGGGTTCAGTAGGCTGCTCTGGTGGGAACGTAGTGCTGGAGATGGTCCGCCGCTGCCCGACAGGATTGCGTGGGTTTTTACATTTGGCAGATTCCTCGCTTTTTTATCTGGATAGTTGTTTGGTTGTAGGCCGATAGGTGCTGAGTTTTAGTGCCTGTTCAGGCTTTATGATTATTGGTGGCTGACTGTCATCGCTCCTCATTCCGTACAGCTAAACATCCAGCCATTACCGTCATCATTGGGATATATCGTCTCCCTCCGCCAATTGGTAGGCTCGTGGCTCAGGAAAGATGTGCGGATATTGTGCACAGATGCTATGAATTGGAGGGCCCGAAGAAGAGAACTGCATACGTACTAGCCGGAGTTGCCAGACGCTATAGATTTGTGGCCTTCGGACATCATCTGAAGGGAAGTATAGCATATTAAGGCATATATATATATATATATATATATATATATATATATATATATATATATATATGTGTGTGTGTGTGTGTGTGTGTGTGTGTGTGTGTGTAAGCATGATAAAAGGAACTTCTTATGACCTTTTGATTGACTTAACATTTAAAGCAAAGCTGCTGATTTATCTACATTTTGCCAGTCTGACTTTAAGGCAATCATTTGGGCCTGTTGTTATTCTGGATCCCGAAACACAGCCTAGTTTAGGTAACTTACTGCGGGTAGGGTTGCCAACTCGTCAACAAGCCGATCACATTGTCGTCCAAGTTTAAGTGGTGCCCAAATTCGGGAAGATAAAGATGCACATAAGTTTTTTATTCATTAAACATACATTTCCTCTTCACCTTGACTTTGCTTTTGTCATCTCCATCTTGATTTTTTTATTTGAATTTTAAAATGGTCTTCTATTATCGTTCTGGCAAGGTAGCGGACAATTTTGCGCTTTGATATACATGCACCAATAATAGCTCAATACACCCATTTTTGCTGGGGCGTGAAGCTGTCTGTAGCTAAGCAACAACAAGTTAGGTTAATTATCTTAATTTGATCCCTGGCCTTCATCGAAAACACGCTTCAGAGACAATCTTCAGCAATCTTTGAGCACGTTATGAATGACCGGATCTCACTTTCGAAAATTGGTGACTGCGCATTAAAGGCAATGCTTCATCGTCAAGAGCTTTCAGAAAATGACGCACGTAATAAAACAATAGACAGCGTTCGCTGGACTCGGCCACACTATTCTTTTTGGGACAAACTTTCCAAAAATGTATGTTAAAAAGAAAATGGACCGGCTGCGTCATGCCGCGCATAGAGTCTCACTGAACGATCACATCAGTTCAACATTCAGGTAACACATTCCAGTCACGTGACAGTTCTAGGCCACGTCACAATGTCGAGATATAAATAATACGTGGATTACGAGTGGATAACAAACAAGCTCAAGAGCCACGGCGTGTTACGCGTGTCACGCCTTCACACGGTTGAGTTCGTGAACGTTTCTCGTGAACTCGTGACAGAACACCGGTGTGGGGGCCGGCCAAACGGCGGGACTTGTGTCGGAGCGCCGGCGCGGGGTCTGGCCAAACGGCAAGACTCGTGTCAGAGCGCCGGCGCGGGGTCTGGCCAAACGGCAAGACTCGCGTCAGAGCGCCGGTGTGGGGTCTGGCCAAACCGTAGGACACGTGTCAGAGCGTGGGCAGGCCGCCGTGGGGGGCCACCCTCCGGCCAGTGACCTGGCAGCTCCGTCCTTTGACAAAGCAGCCGCATCAGCCGAGCTGGCCGGAACAAACCGGCGACGTGTGGACACGTCAAGGGCTTAAAGCGTATGCAAATCGAGGACAAATCCACCTGTGTTCGCGGGGGCGAGTGACGCACAAGAGATTAAACCTGTGGCCGATGACCTCACGTGTTCTGACCACCACGGACCCCGACGTCGTTACGACAGAGCCTTGGCTGGAGAAGCTCTCCAAACGCTTGGTCGACAGCAGGGTACCGTTCTGTCAATCATAGTTACATCTTGTGGCTCGCGACGCCGGGAGTATAGGAGCAGTTTGATTGATTTTTCGCAGGAAAATGCGTAGAACAAGAATGCGTAGAGCACCGTGGCCAGGCAGATGAAAAAAAAACTGTAAAACGAGTGAAAGGGCCTTCAGGTTATCCAGACATACGTCTGATGATTGGTTCGTAAGCGATACCATGCACCATTTGCAGAAGACAGCATTTGGAAGCCGATACTTTTCACAGTGATTTAACAGTTAAACAGTTTACAGTGATATAGTGTAACAAAACAGGACACACACAAAAGGCTACACAACAAACCAACCACACAACTTGTCCTTGAAGATTATTTTTTGTGTGCGGATCCGATGAGCTGCTCGCAGTCCATCCCGTCCGTCTTTTTCCTGTCCCGGGGGCCGAGAGTAGGTCCGGAAGGGCTCAGCCCTCACACCCTGTCTATGCCGGGCGCTGCGTGCTGGCCAGCGCTGCCCACAGTCCGGCCCGAGTGGCTGGATTGGGGTGGAGCGGCGGCCGCCACGCAAGGGCGGCCCGACCCCGGAGATCCGTGCCGGCGCGCTCCGCGCCGCCCGTCTGTCTGCGGGCGCTGGCGGAGCGTCCGGTACCGCTCCAGTGGCCTGCAGGTCGTGGCCGGGCCGCGAGGAACGGCTCCCTGCGCTCCGACATCATGGCCATGTTTTTCTTGACGACGGCCTGGCAGTGAATGTGAAGGTCCACTGCGCTACTTGTTACAAGTGGCAGCCTCTCGCAGTGTATTGCAGGACGACAAAAAGAGAATACCTTATCGTGTTCGCTGATAAAGTAACGACGTTTAGAGAGGGAAATCTGGTCGCACTCTGCCATACTCCGCATGCTGAAGCAGCCATACCAGAGAGCGTTATGTCACGAAATGGTGTATCAGTCGATAGGACAGATAACGTTTGGCCTCGTGACATTGGAGCTCCTTTCGCCGGGTTCAAGTCGGAGAGACCATGGAGAGATATATGATATTGAGCAGTGCATCAATAGTTATGTAGCAAACGTAGGCTGCAGGCTACTCGCCATATCGCAACAGCACCATACAGACATTATGGGACAGGGATCTCGTGTGCCTCGTGGTCAAATCATGCAAATTCCAGGTCTGGCAAGAACACGACACGGAAAGCTGTTATGCGTGTCGTTCAGTTAACAGATGCATGTATCTGTTCAGTTTAATGTTTGTAATCATTCGTCAAGAACGTCCGGCCCAAAGTGTCCAGCACGGCTTATGCCGGGGACAGCCCACAACGAACGTCGTCATGTAGCTCCCAAATCCCCTAATTTCCAAAGCGAAATAAAAAAATATCTGGTGTGTCAGTCGTCGCCATCAGCCGCCAGACCAGAAACAGCATGCATTATTCATGGCGTTCCAGTGACCGGCGCGGCATTTGGGCCCGGCAGCGACACGTTCCGCGAATACACCGCCGGCCGCCGGCAGATGCGTGGGCTAATCCTCCGCCCCGACCCGACTTGGCCCGGCCCGGCCCGGCCCGGCACGACACGGCGTCGCGCCGCCTTGTCGCGTCGCCAGTACGTCACGCGGCCCGCACTAGAGCTGAAGGTTGCCATTCACAGGATTCAAGTAGGTTTGAATAGATACGAGCCTTGTCAGCCCTCGAATCCTAGCGATGATGAAACCCCAAAATCAGGATTGGAGTCTTATGCTCTACATCGCATCGTGGAAGCGTATTGCGAGGTCAAATTTCCATTCAAAAATTCGACTTCATTCAAATCTGTACGAGTATCGACGGATCTACAAAGGTGAATCTGAATCCGACTCCGCCCACCGCAGGCCTCAAATTCCAAAATGACGCGAATCCTCAGCTCTATTCCGCACCCACTTCCCGGGCAACCGGTCCCCGAGGCTCGGCAATCGCACCCCCCCCCCCCCCCCCCGGCCCCGAATAATCGACCGGTCGGTCCCGTCCGCGCCACCGCCGCCGCGCGCCTCTGTCATCGCGCGGTTCCGGCAGGACTGGCGGCCGGCGCCGCAGGCGGCATCCGGCCGCAGACAAGCGGTGCGCGAGAGCCACCGACAGCCGGATGCGATGCCTGATTGACATACTTGACCGGGGCGACGAGCCGGTGACGCATATGACCGCTGGACGCGGCTGGCGCTGCCCGCCAGGTGGGCGGGGAAGACGCATGGACCGGAGGCACCAGCTCCGGCCGGCTGATCTTGCCCGGCACCACATCAGCTAATGCGCTTGAAGATGCGTGAACAGCCCGGGAAGACGACGCACCTGTCGTTTTTGCAGATACCAAAAAAGCCGTCGAAGCATCATTGGACAGTCCGACAGTCCGATAGTTCCCGACGACGAAGCAGGCTGTCTATGTGGCTCCCTGTCTGATGGACCCCGCACATAACTTCGCTGTGTGTTAGTACAGACCGTAGTTACGATTTCTCCCAACACGCGGATTTCGGCAAGAGCAAGCTCGCTGAACAAAAGCTCCGCGAGTGCTGCCACCTACATAGCTAGTTTACTTTTTGGACACCAGGTAGCAGCGTAACCCTTGTTCCGTCCAGCCAGCCTTTGCACCGCACCAACCGGCCTTAGCGGGCATCTCCGTTCTGGACGGACTCCGCGCGAATGTCCACACCGCAACCCAATGTTCGGCCGCACTAGATGCATTGCAATTCCTGAATTTGTTGTGGCTGATTCAGTTGGCTACTTGCAGCGGACTTCGCCGCTATTTCTGACCAATACACAGAGTACCCGTGACGGACTACCCGGGATATCTTGTGGCATCGCTTCGCAGCGATCAATCTACTCATCAAGGATAACAAACGACACGAGGCATCAAAAGAGACACATTTATTTCATGGCCAGCTACACGGGTCAACGTCGCAGGACTAGGAGAGCGAACGGCCAGCCGCCCGGCAGACGCAGCGCCGGCCAGCCGACCGCCGAGGGAGAAAAACGCCGCGATCGTTCACGATGCACGGCCGGAATAAGACAGCCGGACGACCGCGGACGGAGCCGGCAGCGTCACAGGAGCTGCCACGTCACGCAGCCAATGCCGGGAGACTGGGAACTGACCCCAGACCTCCATCAGTGCCCTGCACGCGTCGCGTTATGGCCACCTGGGCTGATTGTTGACCCGGCTCGGACCACTGTCGGCTGGGTTCGGCCCACAGGCGGGCCAGCGCTCCTGGTCCCAGGTCACCAGTCCACACCCACCGCTCGCGACCGCGCGCGCTCCCTCAGATCGTGCGCGGTCACCGGTCGGCGGCGGGACATTGCACGTGGGGGGCAGCGCGGAGTCACATTCACACCGCGAGGAACTCACACGGGCCTTATCAGCTTCGGCATCATCTTCGAGCTTCTCTCGCACAGGCCCACGCGGAGAGCACAGCCTCTGATGTGTTCACCAGCTGACCGTTCCATCCGTCACGCCTATGTACGGGTGTGTGTGGAAGTGCGCGCGCGGGGCGAGGGGCAACCCACCCGCAAAACAGCACGCCACCGGCTGCGGCGCGCGCTCGGATCGACAGCAGGACATCCAGCGCCACCCACGCTGGACGGCCCGTCGATCGTCTGGTAAAGCTCATTCGATTAGCGGCGCCCTGGCAACGTTGTGCGCCGAGCTGGAGGCGGCACGCAAACACCACGTGCGCCCTCCTACCGCGCGGTGTCTGCCCCCTCTCTCTCCCTCTCTTCCTCTCTCCCTGCGTGTGGGTCGGCACGGTGCCGCCGCCCTCCATCAGACGGCACGAGGGGCTGGCCGGCGGCGCCTGTGTCGGGCAGGTCTGCCACGCGGCGTCACCCGCGGCGGGGACGTGGCGCGCGTAGCGTCTGTCACCAGTCGGCCTCCATGCTAGCGTCGGGCCGCTGCTCTTGCCGGCGCCAGGCCACGAACTCGTCCAGCATGACGGGCCCTGCCAGACAGAGGTCACGGTCACCGTCACGGTTACGGCACGGTCACGGTCAAGGTCGCGATGACGTGCGCTCGCGCCACGCTGACACGGCACCTCGTAACAAGGACTGGGCCGACAAGCCGCGACACTGACACGCGGACACTACAGTGTGACACTGACACGGCGATGTCACAGCGACGCCGGAAGGTGGCATTTATCCATGACCCACCGCAGTCACGGCGTACCGAACGCAGAAGCACTGATATGTGCGCAAATGCCGTGACACGGATGCGGTGAGAGCAGCACGACAATGACACGGAACATCGCGCCATCCACGCAAAAACACGGCACAACCAAGTGAAAACACGAGCCAACAAACGTCGGATTAATTGCGCCGACGGCCGAAGTGCCTCCGACACCCGTCATGGCCCACACGCAGGGAGGCGACGCCCCGGGACGCAGTGGACGCAGTGGACACTCGCCTTCCCCGCCCCCTCCCCCCCCCCCCCCGCCGCGCCGGCCGCTCTATCACACGCTTTCGTAAGCCGCGAGTCATCCCGCATGTGTCTGCCGCCTCTCCGGAGCGTGACTGTCTGTCAGCCGGTACCGCGCGCGACCGCCAATCAGTCGGCAGCACAGGTGAGCGGGCATGCACGCACTGAGAGGAGACCGGAGGGCGGCGACAAATGAGGCTGGTCGGCAGCCCCTGAAAACTGTGCATTCGATGGTTGGATTATTATCACCGGTGTCGCACAAAGCATGGAGCATTGCGACTCCAGCCGCGAGAGCGATATAAACATTCGCGCGGAACTCGGAGCAAAAGAAAACCCACCTCGCTGCAAGGTATAACACCAGGCACGACTACGACCACGTGACTGGGGCGCGTTGACAACCGAAAGCGCTCCGCACCATTACGCAACACAACGGGCAAAAGCAGGAGGCATCTGCCTATAAGGACGGGACTAGTCAACAGATCGCCAAGGCGACCGCCCGGCCAGGGCACTGACGTCCAAACGCCGGGACCAACCACACGCGGGCGCGATAGCCATCCCCAGTGCCTGACCGCGGCCGCGGCGGGGCGCGTGCGCTTCTCGTCGACCACCCCGGGGAGTGCGTGTGTGTGGGGTGGGGGGGGGGGGGAGGGGCAGATTTCAGTCACGTCGCCTTCCGCGGGGCCCGCCGCCACTGTCCCGACTCCAGGGCGGCGGCAAACTGACCGACACTGACATGTTCGCGATCGGCGGTTGCATAAGCCTTCAGTTGTTTTTTTGTGTCAACTGCGCGAGTTTCTTTTCACACCGTGGTCGAACACGTACGCAGCGCGCGATATGCTCCAGCCACCTGGCGCCTTACATAACGTGGGTAGCAACGGAGACGGTGGGGTAACGGAGGATCACACCCCATCTCTCATTCGAGCATTAGCCCCCTCGCAACAACCGACCACAAGTGGATTCACCACTTTTTAGGACGTCCCAACGCCGTAGTATTACATCACTTCGCCTGATGGAGCGCTTGGGTGGGCGGCCAGCACTCTGAACATTTTCCACCAGGTAATACCCGGCGCTCGGTTGAGCCGCTATTGACACCCGCCACCGACCGCATGACGGATGCCCGCCGGCGGACGCCGCCGCCGCCGCCGCGCCACAAAGCCGGCGCGCCCCCGTGCGCACCGGCCCGGTAATTGGGTGGCCGGGTGTGGCCGGCGGTGGGCGCCGTCTCGGCCGGCGCCATGCAGTATTCAGCCCACTGATAGGTGCCGGGAGCTGGCGGTACGCAGAGCGGCCGTACCGCGCCGGCCGCCGCGCTATTACCGGACCGGCCGCATTACGGCCGGCCGTGGCCGCTGATCAGCGCCACGCGGTCTGTTCTCGGCCGCGACGACCGGCCGGGGAGGCGAGCGGGCGCAGATGGGAGGCTCGACCCAGATGGGCACGACCAGCAGGCACGGAGGCTCCAGACCAGAAGCCTGCGGCTGTTTCAGTAATCACAAGGCGTGGGTATCGGGCTTCGCCGCCAGCCGTGCTCCCGCTTCCCGTCCCCGCCCAGCCCTGTATGGAGGCACATCAGACAGGTCTCCCACACATGCACGAAGCGCCCTCCAGCAGCGCCGACACGCCACGCGCACGGGGGAGGGGTGGGGGCTCACTCACAGGCGCCGTTCTCATCGTAGTTGGAGAGGTCGGGTGAGATGACGCGCGAAAACTCCAGAATGTTGTTCCACTGATCCTTGTTGACGACACGGTGCTTGCTCTGCGTCAGGAACCGGAGGAAAGCGGCGCAGGCGGGCCAGCGCGGCTCCAGCAGCAGCTTCAGCATGGCCAGCGCCGTCTCCAGGTCCATGCTGCGCTGGCCTTTCTCCTGGAGGCGCAGTCGGGCGCGGCGTCACGCGTCACGTGGACCCGCTCGCCGCCGCCACGGGCAAGGCTCCGGCACACGCGTCATGGGCACAGGCAGCGACCGGCCGCGAGACGGGACCCTGCCCTCCGGGCAGGTCACGACCCACTGCCTTACTGCCGACCGGTCACCGCACGGCATGGCCCTACACAGACAGGTGGCTCACGTGGGGTGCTGTGAACGACTACGCGTGGATTTATGATCAATTGAAAACTTAACCCGCCAATTGTTGTCATTGGCACTTACTTGGCCCGTTACTGTCACCGGGGCCTCACCACTCGCTCAGCCACTGAGGCTATGTGCCGTCGCCCGCCTCTCACTCTGGCAGGAAGGGCGGGATTCTTAGGGAATCGGACCCCGGGCCTCTGGTCTCCCAGACCCATCTTGTCAGGAGCCCATGCGAGCAGCCCTTGGACTGTCGATGCCGAGCGGTGACAGCGGCTGCTCCATGGCGTAAAGTTGGCTGGCTACCATGGCAGAGGTAAACAGGTCGAGTGTTGTGGCTGTGTCATACTGTGTTTCAGCCACAGCACCGGGGCTTTGTTTGGCTCCGCCAAAGTGCAAAGGTCGGCTGGAATCCGGCCAGACACGGCGCCCAGGCGTCGTATGTACCAAGTGGTGTGCGGAGCGTAAGACCCCTAGTTTGATGGAAGCGTAGGGTATCATCATCACTCCTAGTATAGAAACACCATTGCTCGGATGCTCGGTGTACAGGACACACAAGCTCAGTGGAAACCGGCACCAATGAGGTAATCCGACCTTGTATAAATAGCGGGTCGGCCACATATTACATAACGCGTGGAATGGAAGTTCTGATGTTTTGTTGGAACGTAATCAAAATGTGTATGGTGGGGAGGGGGAAGGGGGAGCGTAGCTTTGTCATTAGACGTGGTTGCGAATCACACCAGTGTTGTTTTCTGATACCCTGAAATATTGACCCTGGACATCACTGACTTCCTCTGATATATCACATATATTAATACTCGCACCTGGTCCCTGTCCACAATACTTGGTCTCTGTTTTGCACATTTAGCTGTCACAGGGGTCAAAAAGATGTTACGCTTAGCTTGGCGTAAACCGGGGAGAAGAGTTTTCGCTCGGGGCTATCAGTGTAACAACGGGAAAGGCGATTGAAAGAGGTAAAATGCACGCAATTTGTGAAAGGCCCTTTAATACAACACTGTACCCGACACACAAATGTTGTGATGGCCTGAATTCGATGAATGCCGCTCTTTCCTTGATCAGACGATTGTGTCACTCCGTCCAAGCGCGCTGTCAGGAAGCCATGCCTGAGCTCCTCACAGCGGTTATAATTATGTTTCACTCTGGCCGAAAAAAGGCTTGCAAAAGCTTTCGGCACAAGCTGGCGCAGATGAACGAAAGCAATCGGAAGCTGAGGAAGCCGAGTAACTGTACTAGGAACATACCCGTTAAAGAGTGGCACTGACCGCGATGCATATAGGATAACATGACGTAGACCAGTATCAATCGACGATTGGGGCGGCCGGATGGTGATAAGGTAATCACTTGGTAAAGGAACCGATCAATCCCAAATCAGGTGAAGGAGCCGATCGATCCCAAATCAACAAATCAGGAACCCCGATTCCAAAGCCACTCCGGCGGCGTATTGATTAAATGGAACGTGGATCATTAGCTTAGTCGGTTTTGATCATTTTACAGCACTTCAAAGAATTGACGTTGGAACTATCGCGAATATCAATTCTCAAGAAAACAACCGAACGCCAATACTGCATGACTTTGAGATGTTTCCGTTGCGTCATACAAAATGTATAGCATATTTATAGCAACTGCAATGACTCGGCCTTTCAGCTTTCACCAAAAGCTCACAGATTCCGCCTCGCTGGGCGAAGTGTTAATATGATACTAGTTCAAACGTTTAAGTGGTCCCCTAGCCCGCTCATTCTCCTGCGTGAATTCACACAATCCAGTATCACCCAATGTCGCCCCATTTGTTGGGTGGATCCAGTCGCTGAGCGTTCTTCGCCCCCCCCCCCCCCCTCCTCCCCCTCCCCCCACATACCACCAAAGTGCTACTCACCCGCGCGAAGTCGAACCCGAACCTGTACACCGACTTGAAAACGTCTGGGTGATCCAGAAGCGACCTCATATAATCTATTCGCCACCGCAGCGTCTCTATGCAGTCAGCTCTGCGAAAAGAATTCAAACGATCTTCAATCGGAACAGTCTTTGCACGGCCGAAACCGGACGCAAACGGCGCCGATCAAACGCACATCACGTTTCCCATCTTAACGACGCCGCCGCAGCTGTCAAAAATGAAACATTTAATCTCGCGTCGCGCCCAACTGCAGTCAGCTGTCCAAAGTTGCCTGGGGGCGTCTGAATGTGAACGGTTACGTGCGGAGGCGTCTGTGACGCGGCGCGAACGTGACGCGGCCGCCGCCGGCGCCCGGCCGGCCGGCGCGGAGGCGACGCCGACCTCCTCGGCGGCGGCGCTGTTGGCCGCGAGGCCCCATGAACACGGCAGCCCCGGCAGTTGGCCCCAGTGGTCACGCACATCACCTTCCGTGTGTGTTTTTAATAGAAATAACATGAAGCTCTGGACGTAGAAGAGTTGGAACCACAGCTGCTGCAGCTGCGCAGACCCGGCACACACCGTCCCGTAGAGCGATGTCGATACCGCCTACAGTTTTTGTATGAGGCGCTCGGCCGACGGTCGAACAGTACCGAAGCCCTTTCAGAGCTCACCGATGTACCCATTTGCAGCTCAAGCGATCAGGCCGGTGCAATTTCCACTTGTACGAGGAAAACTGCCCTTGCGAGGTGCGTATCGGCTGAAAACAGCGTCTGAATGGCGTGTGCGCTGGCCTTCGCCCTTCCCTTGCCAGCTGCCAACAGCCATCGCTGCCGAGCCACGGTTTGCAACATCAGTCGCAAGCCCGCATCACGCGCGTGCAGCGCTCTACCCATCGGGCGAGCGGTACGGGAGGGATGACGTCATCGGACGAGATCTCGACAACCTCGATGGGATCCCCGGCAGGCGGCGCCTCCCCGTCGGGCGGGCGGAGGGGACTCGCCCGGTAGGTCACACAGCACAAGAACCAGCACTAATGACCCCGCGCTTACTGTAGCTGGGACAGGCCCCTCAGCCACTCCTGCGCCGAGAAGAAGCCCATGTTCTTGGCGTCCATCTTCCAGGCGATCACCAGCATGACGACGTCCTCAGGCTGGACGCCAAGGTCGCGGCAGAAGCGCTCCATGCCCTCCGGTCCTGTGGCCCGGTCAGCGGTCAGACGGGTCCCCGGTCAGCCACCCAGCTGAGTTAGGCGGTCCCTCGCGCTGGCTTGATCCTCGGCCTACGTCAACATCCGTGCAAAAACATGCCCCGCGAGGCTGATGCACAGCTGATATACAGCTGACACCGGGGGTTGCCAGAAGCTGACGTCTGACGAGTCTGACCCCACAGCTCAGCTTTCCCTGACGGCGTTCTGACACCATCACGTCCCTCTCCCCCATCCACCACCAGCATTGTGACACCCTAAACAGTTGGGTGTGACACGTTTCTAGTCGCATGGGCCGTCACGGTTCACTGGGCGCGACACCACGAACCTGCGCCATGGTGTATCACAGTCTCACATCGGGCGCCCTGCTGGCCGGGTCCGCTCCTCTGACCTCGCCGGACGCCACAGGTCACCAGATCCGACCACATGGCGCCAGCACGCTTACACCGACGCTGGCCAGGTTTGATACCACGCGGCCGACAATGACAGGCCGGCTGACAGCGGCGGCCGGTGACGTATCGTCTCGCGACGCCTCCTGTTGAACGCCTTCGCCAGTGACGTCATTTGGAGGCCTCCCAAAAGTGAATAAATCGAGTGACTGTAACCGTAAAGGACTTGCCCTTCTGAGTGCGGCACGGCCCACGCCCAACACAGTTTGATTTAACGGCCAAATACACGCTGGCTTTCAGCTGTCCATCAGATGGCTGTTTATGGGCACGTAGCTCAAAAAGTACGCGATGGGCACATTATATTGTCACATTGCTAAAGCCTTGCACAGCATCCGTCATGCAAAACGAGGTAAACTGCGCGCGCAAAGGGGCTCCCACATCACATCAGAGTACGGAGGAGCTGTTGCCCTCGCTACCGAACGGGGTCTTAAGTCGCCGTATCGCCCGGTCGCAGACCGTCACCAGTCGTCCCCTCCCCCCCCCCCCCGCCGCGGGCGGGCGGCGGCCACCGGGGCACGCCGCGCCCGCCACTCACCCAGCAGGTCGGGCTCGTCGGCTGTCGTGTACTCGCGGAACCACTCGAGGCACACCTTCTCGTTGAAGCCGACGGGCCGGCGGCCGCTGCCGAACGAGGGCAGTGTCAGGCGACGGGACCGGACGTGCCGCCAACACACCACGCCCACGTGCGCGTATCAGTGACCGGCTGGAATCCCTAGTCTACAATTACCTGTGTTTGCACGGTCACATGTGCTTACCGAGCAACTCAGCTGCATCGCGCCAATGTCAGCCAAGCATGCAGCCCCCCCCCCCCCCCCCCCCACAAAAACGCGGGCAGAGTGGGACTCCTTTACATGTAAACTGAATGATCCTCTACTAACAATACGTGTCATAGCATTCGTGTTCGTGCCGATGTGGAAGGTCACGTGTATTTCTGGATGAGAAACCATCGTCTACACTTATTGTTGTTGATTGGAGTTTTAGGGCGCGTCGACTACTGCGGTCATTTTGCGCCCATAACAGCCCAATGACTAGCTTCGGAGTGTGACTATGAAGTGACTAGAAAATACGTATTATTCAGAAATATAGACGGCTGAGTTGTACCAGGAGCGCGTCATTGATACGAAATTTTTGGCAGCCTAAAAACTTCCTACACGCGGTATCAACTATTCAGGCAGGCGTATATAAAGTGCAGAACTTAACATGCGATACAAACCTGGGGGTATGTTCGATATATGGTGACCTGTCACATAGTAAATCGGAGAGCGCCAGGGACGGCGCCGCCGGGCCAAAGTACCTCAGACGCTCGACGCGTAGTGTGGGGCAGCATACGAGCACATGTTCCACTGTGAGGGTGGTGTTGCAGTGGCGACATCGTGGTAGTTCGTCGTGACATAGTAAGTGTCCATGTGTAGCATAAGTATGGCCGATCCGCAAGCGACACAGGGTTACTTCCTCCCGTCTGGACTTTCGATAGGATGACTGCCATTCCTGAACAATCGGTTTAATGCTCTTCAGTTTGCTAGTGCCTATCACATCCCATGCGCTCTGCCATTCCTCGCGCAAAAAGGCAGAGATGGCCGAGCACAGGTCTGTAGCGGGTATCGGAAACACTCTGCGACAGGGACGACGAGTAGCACGCTTTGCGGCGGAGTCAGCCAGCTCATTTCCCGCGATGCCAACGTGGCTCGGGATCCAGCAAAGTACTACGGTCTTGCCAGCCCGGTACAGAGAGTCGAGACGCAGTAAGATATCCTGTATGAGGGGATTTACCGGATTAAAACACCTTAATGCCGAAAGGGCACTTAGGGAATCCGATAAAATCACGTGCAGACTGTCCTCGCCCACCTCTATAAAACAAGGCGCCTTAATGATGGCCACAAGCTCTGCAGTATACACGGACGCATGGACTGGCAGTGTAAATGATCGCGTATCGGGACCACACACAAAAGCGGAACCAACACCCGTATCCGTTTTCGAGCCGTCTGTATACGTCATTGTGAACCCCTGATATGTTTCGATGTGCTTCAGAGCTGCTGATCTGGCAAAGTACGGAATCATATTTTGTTTCCGAACCTCCGACAATGAGACGTCGACAGTTGGCGATACCATCACCCACGGAGCGGTCGGCAGGCTACGTGGGCGTGCCACACCCCGAAAACTTAAGCCGCTCTCATGAAGAACATTACGAACACGCACACAGAAAGGCGCCAAACGTGTTGCTTGTCCGGACTGAAAAACATGGGATGTATGGCGTGAGAACACGGCGTCATGTGTTGGGTGGTTCGGGAATTGCGCGAGCTTACAAGCGTACCGCATTCCCAACAACTGTCTTCGGGTAGCCAGCGAAGGTTCGTTGGCTTCCACAAGCAAGCTGGCTGTCGGAGACGTACGAAATGCACCAGTAATGATTCTCAACGCAGCATGATGGACCGCATTCAAGATGCGTTTTACGGACTCAGAGGCGCCATCATATACAACACACGCATAGTCCAGCTTGGAGCGTATCAGTGAACGGTATAACAACAAAAGTGTTTTCCGATCTGCTCCGTACGATGTTCGTGCCACACATTTCAGTATGTTCAGTGCCTTAAAACACTTGTCACGCAGAGTGGTAAGATGCTCCCTGTAGGTCAAACGCTTATCAAAATGTAATCCCAAAAACCGTGCCGCCGTATTGCAGGGGATCGACTGTCCATAAAGCTTAAGCACCATGTCGGGACACTGACGCCGGCGTCGACAAAAGTGGACGGAAACTGTCTTCGAGGTGGAAAACCGTAACCCGTTGAGCATGCTCCATCTTTCCAAGCGAGCCACAGCCAACTGCAACTGACGCGACATGGACGCTGCTGTGGCAGAGATGCACCAGATGGCGAGGTCATCAACAAAAAGCGAGCGACCAATCGCCTCGGGAAGACTGTCCCCAACATCATTTATCATGACGGCAAACAACGCAACACTCAGTACACTGCCCTGGGGTATGCCGTTCTCTTGTGTGTATCTTTTCGAGCATACGGAACCGACACGGACGCGGAAGAAACGGTCAGCAAGAAAGTTCGCAAGAAAGGTAAGCATAGCTCCGCGTATGCCATACTGGAACAGCTTCCGTAAGATGCCATATCGCCAGGTAGTGTCGTAAGCCCTTTCAATATCGAAGAACACAGCTCCAACATGTCGCCTTTCCCTAAAAGACATGCGCACAGTTGAGTCCAAGGCTAAAAGATGATCAACGGTGCTACGGTTTTTCCTGCAACCACACTGTGCGTTCGAGAAGATATTGTTGCTTTCTAAAAACCAAGACAATCGTGTATGAACCATCCGCTCCAGGAGTTTGCACATACACGAGGTCAGCGCAATTGGACGGTAGTCAAATGGATTCTTCCCATTCTTGCCAGGTTTCAGCAACGGAACTATAAGCGACTCCCGCCAAGAAGTGGGGAACTCCCCCGTCTCCCATAACTGGTTGAATGCCACCAACATAGCTTGTGTCGCTGTTGGTGGAAGTCGCCGGAGCATATCATTATGAATTAAATCCGGGCCTTCTGCCACGCTGCGCAGAGAGCTAATGGCAGACATCAGTTCAAACATTGTGAAAGGTTTGTTATATGAAAACTCTTCGGCTGTATGAAAGTTTATCTGGGCTGCTTCGCAACGAGCACGATGGCGCATGAAATCAGGAGCGGCAGTTGTCCGCCCACAACGCTCCGCGAACGCACGAGCCATTTCGTTCGCCACCTTAGAGGGGTCCAGTATGTCCTGGCCATTCATATGAAGTACGGGGTGCGGCACTGAGGACTGTTGGCCTGCTAAACGCTTCACCCGCGCCCAAACGACCGAAGTCGGCGTTTGGCAATTTAGACGGCCCACATATAAACGCCAAGACGTACGCTTGGCTTCCAAGAGAGTACGTCGGGCTGCCGCCCGAGCTCGTCGAAAAGCGATTAAGTTGTCCGTAGTGCTGTGTCGATCGAAGTCTCGCAGGGCTTTTTTACGCGCACGTATAGCATCGCGGCACTGGTCCGTCCACCACGGAACAGGGGGACGACGTGGGACACCAGATGTACGTGGAATGCTTTCTTGTGCCGATCGTAAGATTGTGGAGGTGAGTTCTTCTATCGATGCAGGCACATCCGCCGAAACGGAAGCCAACCTGGTTTCCACCCGTGCCTGAAATTCATCCCAGTCAGCCTTTCTAAGATTCCACCGTTGTGGCCTGGAACCGAGAGCTGCTCCGTTCTGGTAGCGCAGCCAGATGGGGTAATGATCGCTGCCAAAGGCGTCGTTGTCAACAGACCACGTCAGGTGTACCGCCAGTTGGGGGCTTGAAAGACTCAAGTCCAGCGCCGATGTCTGGCCTGACGGCAGCGTCATGACTTCTTACGACGCCTCAATCATTGTCCTTTTCCGTATTGTGACATGACGTCGATTTGGAATGAACTACAATGAAAAACAACAACGAAAGCCACTTAACCCACGTGGTCAAGATGGGACAATCAGAGCTTACCGAAACTGGGTACTAACAAAGCCAAGCTCCTTGCGTTAGCCACATGCCAAAAGCCTCGTCTCCCCTGGGGGTCGCTATCAGCTTCACACAACACAGAGGGAAACCACCGTACACTGTACACACAGAGGGCCAACACAGAGGTGATAAATCCATGTCTCATGACGGACAAACGTATGCCATCGCGTCGATCCCCTTGGGAGATGTGCCAGCCTTCATTACGGGTCAGATCAATGCCATTGCAGCCCGTACAACAGCCGCCACCTACCAGAGCGAGCTGTCTGGCCATGCCTGTGGCGGGGCACCCCATCGCTGCGTCAGGAAGCGGCCACGCACGGCGTGTGACCAGCAAAACTGACGGCTTTCTGCGCGTGAGGCGCATTGGGACGCCGCAAAATACACATCAGCGAAAGCTCGCTGCTGGGACCGCCCCACGCGGTGTGCCTCTGAGAGCCGATGATTTTGAGCGGTGAACCCGTGTGCTGGCGTAATCAGCCGAACAGCTGATTACGCCGCGACAGGACAGGCAGCGTAACACTCGGCCGGATCTATACCTACGGTTACGCCACGCCCGGTCCGGGTCTGGCAGGTTACGGTTTAGCTACCGGGCAGCTGTCACCTTCAATGTGCTGCCGCAAGAAATTCGACACAGCTGAAGTTGACAACCAAAGGTTTGTAATGACGAAACCGAACCTAAGCGCGTATGTAACGTTTTATAGTGAATTTGAATGTCATATGTTTGTGCCTGCTGTCATCTAGGTGTTCGACGCGAGCTTAAGTTCAGCAATGCGAAAGTGAACGAGCTCTGGTAACGAATAATCCATAATCTTACACGATGCGACTAAATAGATCAATGAACTGATCAAGCAGACACCTCGCCGTCCATGTGAGACAATCCTAGCCAGCCTCTAACAAACGGCACGGAAATTCATAAAGGAAGGTAATCAATATTGACGACACATACATGAACGAACCACTGAGTGTTCTAGAATGAATCGCACATTTTTAATCCATGAGTTACGACACTCATACCATACTCCGGAACAGGCCCAGAAATTGATTTCCTCACATATTACAAGATAACAAAGAGTTGCAGTGGCAGGCAAGTGATCTGACTGAACGA